TGACGGCACCCATTCACTGCAGAGGATCCATTGGTGAACAAGTGAAGTAATGCTAAATATCTCCAGATCTGTTCTGATGAAGAAACACATCTTGGGTGGCCTGGGGGTGAGTAGATTTTCCTTTTTGGGCGAACTATTCCTTTAATGATCAGCCTAGGCCAGTTAAAAACCATCAGAACTGGTTTTAGCAGAGTTTTTTTCTTGTTGGGGCTAGGTAAAAAAGACAATTTCTGGAGTCTACAGCTGGTAAAATTAGCCTTTGCCTTTCCCTAAGGAGCGTTAGAGGGTTAGACATATCCACAGCGACAGGGCCTTTGGGTCGTGCTGGGAATTGAAGGCCAGCAGCGAGTGAATGTTGCATACACCCAGACGCATTTAAGGAAACACACCTCACACTTGTGTGCTCAGTCTCCTCTCAGGCCTAAGGTGTCCACAGACATGCCACCCAGGGGGTTTACAAGATCAGACTCGGCTGGAATGCCAAGGAATCGCATTGGCACTGAGGATGGGATGTGTCTGTTTAGCTGTCACTAAAACCAGAAACACTATGCAGAGTGAGTTCTTAGTTCACTTTGGCCGTTACAATCTTAGTACTTGACAATGGTATTGTTATTAACTAAAGTTAAAATTATAAAGCTGAAATAAAATAATATATTAGATAAAAATCTAAAGAAAAATGTAAAATGTTGCCACCTACTGTTATGGTGGAGCAACAGTCTGAAAATAATCCTGCTAAAGCATGTTTGTTAAAGTTAACAAGCAACTAAACTGAATAATAGAACCATTGGTTTAACGATACATACGTTTGATAGTAACCGTTTACGCTAACGCCTAGCACTTGCTATAGAGTTGTGAATGTGAGAATACAGCACATATGTTTCCGTACTCACTAATGCAAAAGAGTTTCCTTCAAATATCTGCCATTACACTATGTGTTACAGTTAGGTAGCTTGCATGTCAACAGTTAATTACTTTAAATGATGAGAAACTTGTTTAGCGGCATTGCGGAAACAAGTTGAGAGAATTTTGCTGTGAAAGTTACTTAAACTGCAGTCAAGTTAGTACTCTTTTGAAAAAGTAGTTACTCTACAAGCTACTAACAAAAAGTAGCTAACTTAAGCTAAATTTAGTTGAAAACATGAACATAGTCAATAGCTAGCTATAGAAAGGGCGACAGGAGCTAACTTCAAATTTCTTAACATGAATCTCTTCAAACCAGTGCTTTAGAATGAAATTAGCCATGTTAGATAAACTACTTTAAAACTTTAGCCTGCCTAGCTGTAAGCTAATTGTCATTTACACTCTTTTCAGGAGGTAGTTAGCCACTCTACAAGCTACTAACAAAAAGTAGTTCACTTGAGCTGAATTTAATTGACAACATGAACCTAGTCAATAGCTAGCTAAAGGACTACATTTTAGCTAACTTCAGCACAATTCTCTTCAAACCATTAGCTCTAGCATGACATTAGCCATGTTGGGTAAACAACTTTGAAACTTCAGCTTGTTAGCAATAAGCTACTTGTCATTTAAGCTAGTCTTTTTTTTAAACTAGTTAGCCACACTTGCTAGCCACAAGCTATTCCAATTTAGTTCAAAGGGCTTTTTTGTCTGTGGACTGCTAACAGCATTGAAGCTGCAATGCTAAATATTAAAATATGACAGGGATTCATTGCCCTTAGATGATAACAGTTCGTGCTAATGATGCTATAGTGTCCCTTGCAGCAACCGTGTGAATGCAACGCGTACATTTCAGCACGCAACAGTGTGTACGTCAAGCTGTGATGTGCTAGCATATAGTATAACATGGTCTTCTGTTTGCATGAACTGAATGATAAAATGGTCTTATCAGTGCAGGAAAAGATGCCTCGAACAATCTTAATCAAAAACTGTGGCACAGTTGTCTGAGGTTATTGCTTCAACACTGTGTTTACGTGTTTGTCTAATTCTCTCTTCAGGGTGTTTGCGATCTCCTGGGAGGTGTGTGTATCGCTACATAGCGCGCACTCCAGGATAATCCCTCTCTTTAGCACATCCGCGTACAGAAATCCCCCCACAGATTTGCTTATACTGTATCATTCTGTATTTACATTCATGCTGGTAATTAGCATACAATGCGTGTTTCCCCTGGGCCAGTCTTATCGCCACCGCAGACGCTAACTGCAGTCAGAGGTAAAGCTGCGTACCTAGACAATGAAAGACTGCCTTTAAGGAGAGGGCTTTTCCCACAGAGACCCGATTATAAGAGGTGAAGAGCCGTGTTTGCACCCAAGCCTCTTTTTTACCAAGACGTTGCTGGAGCTGGAGTTGTTCCCTAAAACCTGCTGGTATCAAACCAGGAACCGCTAAGGGGCAGGATAATAACTTGTAAGGTTTCAATGTAGCAAGAACTAAGTCTGGTGTCACTAACACAAAATAAACTAGGTTGTGTGAAAGCACTATATATCGGTACCGATTATCAACCGATATTATAGTGTTTTTTTTTTATTGGCATGTTGTGTATGTGTGTTGGATATTTAATTTATTTCCCCCATTTTTAAATTTTCATAACATTTTCTGTCATCTAACACACTTAAAGTTCATCTTTAAAAAGTTTTTTCCCTGTACATTTTAATACTGTGATGCCTAAATTCACATATAAATTCATAAATAGGATTTTTTAGTTTTTAATTTGAGACCAGTGTTGTTATTGTTAAGTACTAAATTAACTAAAACCAAAGTTAATTATATGGATTACTAATGAATATGAAACCTGAAACTTTGTATCGGCCATGTATTGGTTATCGGCCATAACGGGACAATAATTATAGGCTTATGAGATTTGTTCACAGAACTTCTGGCCAAGAACCAGGTCCATTTGGGTGGAAAAGGGAATCCAGACAGAACGTCGAAACGTCTCATTACTGTACTTTTTGTTGTAAAATTTGTTTATCTATGTCTCTCTGTTCCCAGTTTTTTCGAGAACATGGGCAGGGTCATCGCTCCCAATTACATGCCGACAGAAACGGACATTTTAAGAGTCCGACTAAGAACCACGGGAGTAATCGAGACGCAGTTCAAAGTCAAACACCTAGTCTTCAGGTAAACAGTCTCTTTATTGTCAGTTTGTCGCAACTGTTGTTACAAGAAGTTGTAGAAAAATGTCTGAATCATCAAACATCAAGCTTTTTCAGTTTCTCAGTTCAAGCGTTTTCAGTTGATGTTTGTCTAAAAGTAGCTATAGCAACTGAGTAAAAATTGAGGGGGTTTCCTTCTCATAACTTCACGATTTCATGATATTGACCATGTCAACATCCTCATCCTCCATCTCTCACTATCTTATGAAATGTCAGCTTGCATGACGTTCTGAAGCATCGCTCCATTCGTCAATATCCTAACTGGCATTATCAGCATTGAGCACAAGTTCAGCTTTGATTTGGATGCAAGACTTGTTTGAATTCATCTGAGTTTGTTTTTTTTTTGCTTGCTATGACGTCTTGTTGAGTCTGAGCTTAAATATGTCGACAAACAACTTTTAAAGGTATATGCTAATTGTTTGTTTAATTTGAACCCTTGTTATTTTAGTATCATTGATATACTTTCATTGATTTTTTCTGTTTTCATTTAAAGTTTTAGTCATTCGTTTTTTTTAAATGTCTATATAGTTTTTATTTTAAAATTAAATTGTTGTTCATTTTCTATCTTGTGTTCTTATGTAGTTTACGTTTTACATTTAATTTATATTTAAATTTTAGGTGTATTTGTTTTAGTTTATTTAGTTTTATTTTAGTACTTCAACTTATTCTAAACAAAAATAAGAAATGTTATTTATTTATGCTTTATTTTTTCAGTTGATGTTTATTTTATGTCAAGTAATGGCATTTTTTAATGGTTTTAGTTTTAGATAACATTTGCTTGATGCACAGTTTAATCATAAATCCCAGCTGTTTGCTTTAGTCACAGTCACAATGACATTTGATCCTCAAAATGTTAGAATGGAAAAGTTTCATGTGTGTTCATTGTCCTCTCAAGTTTAATTTTGCGCAAACATTGGACTACCAATAAAACGATTGGGAGGTTTCATGGGAAATGTGAGTAATTTTCTGCCTGGCAGGTTTTACCAGCCATTTGAATGTTAATGGAGACATTTACAGCTATGAGATGCCGTCAACTGTTTGATATGGCATGGAAAGATAAGTGTTTTGGCATTTGGTGGAAAGCAACTGTCTTTGTCTATACTTTTTCGTTTGCTTCTCTTGGGCTCTTTCTGCCCTGAGAGTTGGCAAATTTATTGGCTTCAGTTGAAGGCTTCTGCAATAATATTTATATTACATTAATGCTAAATCTAAATTTCCACGGCTTTCATGACAGTTTTTAATAAAAGAGCTTCTACAACATCATAAAATCAAAACAAGATGAAACTGTTTGTGGGATGTAGGGATGTTTGAAACACCCAGTTGGATGCCAATCCATTTAGTCGTCTTCACAGTTTGGTCTTTAAAAAGGTCAATTTTTCCGTCTGAAAAAAATTGTTAATCTGTTTTCTTTGTTGGGTTTTTAAGTTAAATTGTCCCATAGAGTATAAATATGAGGAAAAATATCCCATAAACACTGAAATCAGAGTGGAATTAAGAAGATAAGGGGGCCCCACTATGATTAAGTCCTTTGTTCATTATAAGCAGTGAACTCTAAAGCTGATGTTATGTGGAGTAATTGTTATATGAAATCTGTTTAGTTCCTCATGAGCTCTAGAGTGAATTAATTCGGTCTGGGATAACTTGGTGTCAATCTTCTGCACGCTTGACTGCTCGTCCTTATCGCAGCACTTCACACGCGTCCCATGCTGAAACCTCATGATCTTTATCATATCACTGGATTCACACCTCACTTCTGATATACACACCCATAGCTGCTGCATATGTGCCTTTGCCTGCCACAATTATTACATTTTTTTAATCGAACGATTATTTATTTATGCATTTATGCATTTTTATTATGCATTTATGGGTTTATTAATGCTTTTAATTCATTTTTATTTTATTGCTGCATTAATTTTATTTACTATTGTTATCTAAAAATACAATAGACAAAGACAATAAAATACTGTTTCTCATGGCCATATGTAAATGCTATAGTACCGTTTTAAATCATTTGCATTATTCATTTTTGCAAACAGTTTTGCATTTTATTTGTTTTTTAAACTTTGTGTGGTCAAATACCCCTAATTTAACTAATTCCAAATAACTTACATTTAACTTATCAACATTAAAAATCATATTTATTTAATTGTTTATTTATGCATTTTTATGCCTATATTTATTTATGCATTTTTATGATTTTTTTGTGGATATATGCTTCATTTTTATTTTATATTGCAACATTTGCATTCATTAAATTTGTTATAGTTATCTAAAAATACTTTTTCTTATGTCCATATGTAAATATAATACTATTTTACATAGTAATTTGCATGATTAATTTTTGAGAACGGTTTTGCACTTAATTCAATTTTCAGTCTTGATGCTTTATTCAAGTGGCCAAATGTTCATAATTTTCTTATTAGCAAAATAACTTGCATTTAGCTTGTCAACCATAAAAGAGTAATTCATTACATTAAAAAGTATTTTCTTCCACTGATTATTATATGCAATAATTATTGCATAGCTATTTTCTTAATTGGACATAAGTAGGAACAACATGATGTTATAGGTTTGTTGGTCAGGAAGTGATTTCACTGTTTTTTCACGTGAGTTTAATGAAATCTCCAAAATAATTTCCTTGCTGCAGCCGAAATCTAAATATCAGGTGGCTCCGGGTCACCCTTGACATGTGAGCTGTAATTAACAGTGTAATGATCAGTGAAATGACTTGCGTCTTGATCAGTGTGTTTAACACCGCACGATTCTCACCTTGATCATGTGGCCACATCAGATCATCCCATAATTAAACAAAGCCATTATTAACCCTTTGTGCTGTTGGAAAAACCGTGACCGACCAGAAAACAACAGGAAGAAACACTGGTTTGATTTATTTATTTTTTTTCTTGTTCAAATTTCCTGTTGCAGCTGAATAGTGAATAAAATGCTATATAGATACATCTTTATATTTAGATTTACAACGATTTATTCATTATATAAATGTTTAGATGTATTTCAATTGCGTAATTTATATTATATTATATTATATTGCATTATTACAGTATGTTTAGGATTTAGAATTGTATATTTTGATTTATATTTATAGATTTGAATTAAAAAATTAAGTAAAATTCATTGTTTACATTTATAGATTAGCATTCAGATTAATACATATTTTATATAATTATAAAACATTTATATATAAATCTAAACATATAAAAGTAACTTCTAAAGAAATAGTTTTAAATTTAAATATATCTATTTTTAAATGGTAATGAATTGTGAGTGTACAGTGTACATGAAAATTCTGTGTATAAATGTAGCAATGTATAAAAGTGAGTGTAAATATAATACATTTTGTTAGTGTGTTTCATATTTCATTAAAAATAGGTATGCTTTCTATTTTTAATTAAAATGGTCAAACATTTTTCCTGTTAAACATGATCTTTTTACCTGCAGTTTATTGTACACGAAAACCAATGTAGCAGTTAATATCATAGTGTCAGCATCAGCTATGTTCATGATTCAGTTAATTTGTCTGATTTTTATGGGAAACCCTCATGTATTAGTGTCCCATAAGGCACATATAGATTTATTTTTCCATCATGTTTGAAGTGTGTGTATTGATAGTTTTCATTTCAGACGTGTGGGGGAATCTTTCCCACAAATATAGCGACGAGACGGCACAGGATGAAGTGGAAGCTTTTTATCTCTCCTCTTTCCACTTCTGTTTCAGTTTTTTATAATCTATTTCTTACTATGTGTCAGTAAGTTGTTGTTATTTTAGCATGTGTGTTTGCCTCTGTTATTTTTTTAGGATTACTGATGAACTAATGTACTTTGATTTGTATTAGTTATCTATTTTAGTTTTAGTTACAGTTATAGTAATGTTGTCATTTTATTATTATTTTTATTATGTCTATATAGGCTTTTTATTAAGTTTTACTTTTATTTATTTTGAGTTATTTCAGTACTTCATCATACAAAATGGAAATTAAATATATATATATACAGTGGGTACGGAAAGTATTCAGACCCCCTTAAATTTTTCCCTCTTTGTTATATTGCAGCCATTTGCTAAAATCATTTAAGTTTTTCATTTAAATGTTTTGGTTTTGAAATGTTGTTGTATGCATTTGTCATTTTTATTTAATTTCTTTTATTTTCTTAAATGTGTGTGTGTATATATTAGTATTTATAGAGTTTTAGCTTTTAGTTTTAATTACTTTTTCTTATTTGTAAGTCGCTTTGGATAAAAGCGTCTGCTAAATGAGTAAAAGTAAAAGGAAGATGGAAAATAAATATGAGAGAGAGAGAATGAGAGAGACTTCTGTGTTTAGGAAACAAAAAAAAGCTCTGAGAAGAAACACACGCCATTTTCCCCACTCTTTTTAGTTTCAAAAATAGACATGTAGAGGAGAAATATATAATGAAACATGTCATGTTTTGATGCCTCTTTGCGCACTGCTAGCTAAAAAGCGAACTCTTTTAGTGTTGGGATCTAAAACACAGTGAGGGGGAATTTGGCGGAGATTGTTAATTTGAGAAGCTTGTTTGATGACATCAAAGTTGGTCTGTTTTTCACATGTGCGGATATGTGTCGCTAGTTAGCAGCATATTAGCATATGTGACGCTGTTAGTAAAAGTCAACATGAAATGATGTTCAAAATCCACTGTACTTTTGTAACTTGATGTAATACCTAAGCTAAAATGGTTTTGTGTTGACTAATGATACTGAGGTGTTTCTTTTCCATTCGAGGACATTTTGTGTCTTTCTCTCCACAGATTGTATGATGTTGGAGGCCAGAGGACGGAGAGGAGGAAGTGGATCAGCTGCTTTGAGGATGTGAGGGCCGTGCTGTTCGTCGTGGCTCTGAGTGGATACGACATGACGCTAGTAGAAGATCCATCTATGGTGAGAAAACAGTTAATTTTGCATTCACCTACTTCATTCGTTTGTTCAGGAATATTAACTGAAGGCCTCAGGAATCAAGATCACCACGGAGTTATTTAAAACTGTAGTTTTTGGATGTTAAAACAGTATGCTAGTATTAAAAAATAATAAGTGAATTATGTATTAGTTATATATAAGGTGTTATTATTTATAAAAATTCTGCCATCATACATTTTTGTAAGGACAGTTAAAATAAATAAATTTTGTGTGTGTGTATTATATATATATATATATATATATATATATATATATATATATATATATATATATATACATACATACAGTGGTGTGAAAAAGTGTTGGCCCCCTTCCTGATTTCTTATCTTTTTGCATGTTTGTCACACTTTAATGTTTCAGATCATCAAAAAAATTTAAATATTACACAAAGATAATGCAAGTAAATACAAAATGTAGTTTTTAAATGATGATTTCATTTATTAAGGGAAAAAAGCTGTCCAAACCTACGTGGCCCTACGTGAAAAATTAATTGCCCCCT